ACATTTATTTGGTGATTTTTAATGAAGTTTATTATTAATTGTACATAGATTAAAATATAAGCTGTCTAGCAAAAGAATCTGAATACACCGATTTTACATATCCTCGTTTTCATGATACAGAGGCTGTCACAGTGCCAGGTAAAGGGGGAGAGCATAGTGGCAATTGCTCCTGGCCGCAATTTCTTAGTGGTGAAAATGAAAGTTTTGAAGTATTCTAATGTATTTTAATTTTTAGGGAAAATTATCATTCATTGAAAATGTGTATAACAAATAACAGAAATATTGTATAGCCCTCAAACTGATGCATTTTAAACACTATCTATGCACAGTTTGCTTGAAACAATAAGAGGACCCGAATTTGTGTCTCAGTCTTACAAACGAGTAACATACTAAATTTACGCTTGACAGTTCACGTCTGGTTCCGTTAACTTAAAAATGAGTAAGTGAATAGAACTATTATGTATAGTATTATGAAACTTGATGGTAAGGACATTATCTGTATTTTGTTAAAACTTTTTTTATGATATTTCAGTTGTTAAACTAGTTATGAGTGCTTTTGTTTTACAATTTTGAATTTATTATACATGCATAAATCACTTAAAAACTAAATTATTGTAAAAAAAACTTCTAACAAAATACGGATAATGTTCTTACCATCACGTTTTATAGTAGGTCTATTCACTAACTAATTTTTAAGCTAATGGAACCAGACGTAAATTGTCAAGTGTTAATCTGCTATGTTGCACATTTTTAAGAGTGGGACAATAAATGCAGATGTGGCATCTTCTTAAAAAAATCAAAGATAAACGATTCATTTTTTAATTTGGAAATAGCTTTAAAACTTTTTGTATCCATACCATGCTCAAACGTTATCGGAAAGAATTATTCCCGGTTTTAAAAAGAGTGAAGAACTACCAAAGAACATCGTTATCTAATAAAAAGATGTCATTGTTGATTCAAATGTATATTGAGAATTGTCCTAAAAATTAAGAATTTGAATGATTTTATTAAAGAATTTGCTGAAAGCTAGAAAAAGTTGTAAATTTTAACTTGTGTTAAATGTTTATCTTAGTACTAATAATTCTATGATATTAAAACTACCGATTTCATGATATGCTTATAAATATATAAATTAAACAATTATAATGCTGTTGTTATGTATGTTATTTTTTTAAGATGGATACGGCTTTGCTAAGGGCTGCATATTTTTAAAATCTGTTCTCAGGCGGCATATTTGTTAACTCGGCACTGGCCTGTCATGGAGAACGGTTCTATTAATGCAGGGTGTATGTGGTGTGTCACATGGGAATGTGTAAATGAACTGATTTTTGTTGAGCCGCAGTGTGTTCATTTGCAAGACAAAACATGTTCAGACAATAAAGTACATTAGGATGTATGACGTTATGATATAAATTAGATAGCATTTAATTGATTAAATAAGTAATAAATATTAATAATATTTTGTAGAATAGAATAAATTAAATAAAAAATAAACTAATTATTACCATGTTAAATAAATCAATCAATAAATGATGAAAAAAGATTAATAAATTTGTTTTAGTAGTTAGTAATGAATTAATGATTATTAAAGAAGATAACTGAATAGGTATTAGGTGCATAGTAAAAATTCTACCATAAGAAAACAATTTAGTTCAAAATTGTTTTGACTACTCACTAACAAAATAAATATAAAAGGTACCTATTATAAAACTTACTTGTATTTTTTTCTGAATGTATTTGAAATCTTTGGACCATAGGTTTGACCTTACGCAAACTGTATCTATAATACCTGGGTCGATTGGATTGCCTCATGCTACATTGTTTTAGTCTTATAGTTCTCCTTTTTTTTTTTCCATTCAACTTCTTAATGGATGTTAAATAATCTTCAATATTTAAATTATTCAACTCTTCAGAACTCATGGATTCATCGCTACTTTGTTCTGTAGCAGCTATAAAATTGAATTTAATAGATTACATTATTATATTTCAATCATTTAATAGTAATAAGTAATAACTATACTAACTATTAGGTTTAGCTTGATTTTTATTTCGTGTGCGTTTTATACGAGTATACAGATCAACATTATCAACATTTTGGTCATTAGATTTGTCACTAGCTTCAGCTACAGCTCTTCTTGTTCTTGGACGACTATCATTATTTTCAGAAGTAACAGAAACATGTTTACTTTCTTGATTAATACTTTGTGTTGAGTTATGATTGGTTTCTTCTTCTTCATTTTCTTGGTTATCAGCATCAGCTTCAGCATCAGCATTAGCATCTTCATCTTCTTCATCATCCTCTTCATCATCATCTACTACTTGTTTCAATCTATAATTTCTGGTAATTCTACGTTCAACTAAATAAATATAATATTTAGAAGGTATACTCGCGCATTGTGGTTAACAAAAGTTATGAAAAAAAAAAATTAAGTTTACCATCTCCTTCTTCATTAACCATATTTGGGTAACCTTTAAGAGCTTGAGAACCAACAATCCAAGTATCACTATAATTTTCATATTTTAACTTCCGTTTCCTGGTACTTCTTCTAGTTCCTTCTATGTTCAAAAAATAAAATAACATTATTAAGTTTGTAACATTAAAATAAACTAATGTTACCAATGTTATTCGAATCATCTCTCTCATGGCGATCACTACTTCCACGTGTATGATGCATAGATGAAAATTTAGACCTTAAAATTAAAATTATTACATTTATATTCACAAATATAACTCAGTTATATTATATATTTATAAGGATTGATAATACAATAATCAATAAAGTATATTTTACCTTGTGTGAACAACCGGTGTGAAAATTTGATCATCCGATTGATCAGATTGACTTGTAAATCTACTTCGATTTCTCATTATGTATCTATAAAAATATGACACAAAAGTATTTAATTAAATTATTTTTATTACAGTATATATATATGACATATATAGTCAAGCACTGATTTTCTAAAATATTATTGCATTACATAGTTTAAAATGATTTCATTGTAACAGTTTTTATATTAGGTGTTCCAACTTTTGAATTATTGTATCTTGGTAACTATTAAATTTTGTAGAGTTGTGATTTTATCTATGCAAATAGAATCAAATTTGGAACAATCAGCTTTTTAATTTGCATAAATATGCATCTAATAAATTATGAAAGATTTTATGGAGATCTAATAAACCTAATAGAATTGTATAGCTGATACAACATTATGTTTATATTTTATAGTTTTATTTAGTTATATTAAAGCCAATTAAATAATGAAATATACAAACAACATAACAACTTCATATAAAAATAAAAATAAATTTTAACAGTTGTGAAATAACGGTTAGTGAATTAAGTTTGCTCTATGTACACATGATGATGTTATGCTAAAATCAAAACAATAGAAAACGTCTTCTAGACAAACAAAAAAAGCAGCAGGTTGTTGGTGGAGTGTAAAGAATAAAAAAATCACTGTACTACTGTACAACCGTTGGACGAACGAGAGGTCGTTAATAACATCAATCAACCGTTCTGTAACCATAAAATAACACCTACCAAAGCTGTCACGCGAAGAAATGTCACGATTCACGGTTTGATAGCAAATAGCAATGCACATTGCAATTTGCAAGTAGAAGTGATCAATTGAAAATGCGTGCACTATCTACAATCACTACGTAGATACGACGACCACTGTGCCGAGTGCATTTCACTAGGTAACTACCTTGTTGATAACAACAACCCGTAAAAAACTATAAATCGAAGTAAAAAAATATCCCCGTGTGAAAAACGCGTCGCAAATAGTTCGGATAAGGTAAAAATGTGACTAAAATTATCTTAATTAATAATAACAAACCAAAGTGGTTTTATCGGAGAAATTCCGCCAATTTGCTATTGTGTTCGGCGCGCTACTCGCGCGCACGCACTCTACCTGATAATAATAATAATAATAATAATAACGACGAAAAGTCATGGTCTAGTGAGTAGTGATCTACATGGGCAACATGCGTTGGTGGGTGATGGGTACGACAAAAACCATTTCAAAACTCACTAGTCGTTCGACGGTGTACCGTCAGCCGTTTGGGGGGATGAGGGAGAACAGTAACCAACGTCGCCCGGACAAATGGGAGTCTGTTCGCAGAAGCGTTAAGTTGGACTGGGATTTCTACGTCAGGCGTATGCGGACTGGACGCTGTTGAACGGCAACGTCAACGGTTGCATGCTGAAGGTGTAGTCTTCGGAGGAGAAATTTTGTGGTCTTGGGACGCGGCACGACGAGCTAGAACGCGAGTGGTGTGAATACTCGTCACTTAAGAGTTAAGACTCAAAACAATCAAAACTGAAATGAATCGAGTTCCGAATGTAACAACCAAYAGTTGTAGTCAGTACCAGCAAGTAACAACAAGAACCACGAGAGCGAGCCGTAGAAGGGACAAGTGAAACGGCTCGATAGTTTGATAGCCAGCCGCACTGTGGCCTAGTATTTAAGTCTGAGTTCTGAGTGATCGAAGTGACGAAGTCTCGAGGAGTCGTCGGCTCGGAATTTGATTTTGACGGCTCAGTGAGTGTGTGAATCGTTAGTCGTGTAAGAGCAAGGGCTGACTGTCGAGTCCTCGAGTGGTCAATAACGAGCTAGCCTGGAAGGTTAAAACTTGAAATACGACTGGAACTTTGGATAGTAGATACTAGATAACTGAAAACTAGAAAAGTAGAAAGTAGAAATTATTTCTAATAGAAAACAACAATGATATTATTACTGATACAATAACGATTAGTCGTCAAACAAAACACTGAAAACAGCTGTCTTGCCGAGAAGTAATTTTTTAAGACCTTGTCAGTGGTCATACTGCGGCATGATCATTGTTTTTTATCGCAAATCTCACGAGGTCGTTATCAGTTATCACGTATTATCTGTTTACAACAACAATGGTCACGACTCATTACTCTATTACACTAACGAGTAGGTACTGATATTCTGTAAATTTTGATTATTGAGTCACGAACTAACGACTTACGAGCATAGGTTTATCGTTTATCGGTCACAGGACAATATAGAACAATATAGGGTGAGGGTCTCGGCTAAAATATATTATGGGCTATATTAGTCTTATTAAAATCGATTATTTACTTTTCCTGTTTAATTATAAATTATAATTAAACGAACACAGATTATACTTTATCCAGCACGTGGTCTTTATGGTCTTCGCCTTCCTGTGATCACAGGTCACTGCTGCTCAGCGGTTAAGATCGTAGAAATTAACATGGGCAAGCGAAAGTTGACCGATAAGTCGCCGTTGTCGTCGAATGCTCAACCAGTCATCAAATATAAACGTACTAGCGATCAATCTCCACCCACCAATGGTGCAAAAACGCTTACCGAAGAAGAGTATTCAAAATTAAAACTCTATTTAAAAGAGAAAAAAAAAATTCTGAAAGTGAGTACTAAAAAATTAATGTTTTTTTACACACATAATTCATAAATATTAATAATTAGCATCTACTCTGAAAAATTAAAACTTATTTTTTTATTTAAAATAGTGTATTTACAATCTATACATGGTATAATAAGTAAATTTGATGACAAAATAACATTAAATACAGAATAGGAAGACTCCTAGCAGTGCCACCTGACAAGAACTTAGGGTTTTAATGTTTTAGTATTTTCTCCTTAGTTAATTTTTTTTTTTTATTAGGCATTGAGCTAATCTCTAGGCCATTGTCCTTTTAGCCTTCTAGAAATAATTGAGGTAGAGGATATACTTTTAACTATGGGATTTGGATGAGCTCGAAGTTTTGAGTGAAATTTTAAGTATGTGATAGGATTTGGCTAAACAATTATTTATGAATTAATTGTTGTATAGTACCTAATTAGTAATATATACTATACAATATTCAATACATTTTAGAGTTCTATGTGTCAAAATAAATTTATTGTAAATTTAGTAGTAATAACCTAATGTTGATACTTTTACGTTGAATGAATTATTTTCAATACTGCAGCTATATACTCTTAATTTTTAAAAATGCATTCCAAGTTAAACTCAAATACAATGTTCAATTTTATCCTATGTTTTATTAATAAATAAAATACTATTATAATAATTTTCTCTCATTTTCCATAAACTTAGACATACTGTTAAAATTGGGAGGAATGGCAACCCTACCTATATAGTGAATTAGAGTTTTTTTTTATAAATTGGTAACAGATAAAGTTAAATTTGTTGTCTTAACAATTATTCATTACTTAAAAGTCATTTTCTGTAATAGATAACAAAATGTATTAAACTGCATCTAAAATATATCTGCTGCAGTAAAAAGACATTTATACAAGAATATTGTACCTAGTTATTTTGAAATCTCCAATTGTGCTCTCTATGTTCATATTTAATAAAAATTCATATCACATATCTTTGTAAATTAATTACATTGTTTTATAATTGATTTTTGCAAATATTTTTGATAGTTAATATTTTTTTTCTGTTAATATTTCATTTGCAATCATCTTTAAAAGTGGTATTTTGAAACATATTTTTTAATTATTGTAATTGACTCGGTTTAAAGACACAATATGAATGCACTAGTATTGTTATAATACATTTCATCATTAATTTTAACAAAGTTATTTGCATTAATTTAGAATCAACCTTATTTTTTCAGACTTTCCCACGAATATTACTTAATGCCCGTGGACAATTGTCACAGTTAAATGATCAAGGTTTCAGTGAAAGTCCATTATTACCTTCTGACCTAAATGAGTTAATTTTATATTCTATTTATGGTCCTGGAAAATATGTTCCAAAGTAAGTTGTTAAGTTACTGAAAATACTTATTTATTAAAAAAAATATTAACCTAAACGTTTTAGATGGTCAAGTTTAGAAATGCAATGCAATTTAAATCAAACTTGTGTGTTAATAATTGATGGATGTGAAGTAAAAACTAAAGAAGATTTTTTAAATTTTAATAGTTCTCTGCCAATTTTTTCAAAGTATAAATTTTTACCACCTATTGAAGTTGAACTCCCCCCAAGTTGGTGTGCTGATTATGGTAAATGCTATGTTATGTACTTAAAACATTTTGTAAATAAATTATTGGAAAAAAAATTTTTTTCAATTGGAATATACTGTAATAAATAGGATAAAAATTATATTTTAATAGATTTCGACACTACAACTTCAACAAACAATGAATCTACACCAACACAAAAAAAAGATACGGAGAATAAAGAAATTTGCTCTCGAACACGTTTATTGATGTCTTTAAATCAAATGATGGTTCATAATTATCCTTTACCTACCAATAAACGTCAATTTACAATGGATGGTTTCCGTTTTACAAAAAATCATTACTTGCCTGTTACCGATGACAGTCCAATGTATGCAATTGATTGTGAAATGTGTTATACATCGATTGGTAGAAATGAACTTACTAGAGTTTCCATTGTTAATGAACAATTAGAGGTAAGTTATTATTAATAATTAATTATACATACCTTAGTGAAATATAGATTCCTCTAATGAAAAAAGGTCACTGAAAATATATCAATTATAATCGATAATTTTGTTTAAAAATATAAATGTATGTAGGAATTTTGAATTAGTTTTATAAATCTTCATAGTATTTGCCCTAAGATAGATATCAAAAATACCATACCAACCTACTTTTAGGAATCATTCTGTTTTAATAACTTTTTGTTTTTGTATACTATTATATGTTAAAATTCTAGGTAATATATGAGTCTCTGGTGAAACCAGCAAACAAAATTACAAATTATTTAACTGTATATTCTGGAATCACAGCTTCAAAACTTAAAGATGTCAAAACCACTTTAACTGATGTACAAGATGATATAATAAAAATATTATCTCCAGATTCAATTTTGATTGGACAATCATTAAATTGTGACTTGGAAGCATTAAAGGTACAAAAAAATATCTTTGATTTAAATTGTGTTCTACCTAAGAAAACAGTTTTTAATAATATATATTTTGTAGTTATTCCATCCATACATTATAGACACTAGTGTTATTTTCAATTTGAATGGAAATAAAGGGTCTAAAAGTAAACTAAAACTTTTGGCCAAAAATTTTCTGGATATGAATATTCAATGTGGTAACCTTGGACATGATTCTATTGAAGATAGTCGTGCTACAATGTTACTCGTTCAACTAAAACTATGCAAATGTATGTTTCAATGTTAAAATTAATTCTCAACTTCTATTATTATTAATATTGTATTTTATTTATAGCGCTGACTTACGGTGATGCATATTTAATTGGTCAGAAGAGATTAGCTGAATTTGTAAATAAAAAAGTTAAAATAAATGTCAAGCATATAGAAACATTTAAAAAGTTCTTAGCATTATTACAGAGTGTTTCAGAAAGTTCAGCCAAAGGTGATTATTATATTAATATAACTGATAAAAATCATGAAAATATATTATTGGTTTGATATGATTTAAAATTTTAAACATATTTATCTCAAATATAAACACCTAATTCAAAATTTCTTTACCGGGTATTACACATATAATATTTTTAGTATTTAATATTAATCAAAAAGCCATTGTTGATTTTTCTACCAATAAATATCATATCGAATTCACACACCCCATTTTTGGACAGCCATTGTTACATCTTATTGTGAATTTAAATATTTAAAAACAGTAATTTGTTTGTAATTTGTATCACACTTGCCAATTTAAAGTGGCGGGCTTAAATGTGCCAAACATTCTTATACGTTTTTTAAATAACCAGTTATTCATAAAGTATATGGTCTGAATTTGTCAAGCCTATCCATTAACCATGTTTTACTGTTAGACAAATGTATTCAATTCAAATTGCACCCACTTGTAATATCTGCATCTTACAAAAAATTGACCTATCCTCAAACTTTTAGGTAAGAACATTATCTGTGCTCTCTTGTTGGTTTTTTAGAATATTTAAATTATGAATATGCAAGCCTGGGCAAGTTAATGATAATTTTTAACTGAGTTAAGTTAAGTTAATGGAAAACATTTTAAAAAGTTTAAAGTTAATAGTTAACCTAATTCTTTTTTTAACTCAGTTAAGTTAAAAGTTTTATGAACATTTTCAATTAACTTATTAACTTAAGTTA